TCAGTTCAGAGGGTGGCAAACAGGAAAAAATCGCAAAATCGTCAAAATGGGGATTTTGCCAGTGGGCGGCAAAATGGACAAAATGAAAAAATTTGCCGAAAGTTTGCTTCTTTGAAATAAAAAATGTTTTGAAACGCTATTTTTCCGCCCTCTGGACTGTGGCGCCCGGGGCGACTGCCCCACTTGCCCCCCCCTAGTTACGCCACTGCATGAATGCCACCAATAAAGATGGTGGGGCCTTCACTGGAATGAGATCACTGGGTGTTGCTAGTTCTCGGTTGAGGCACTTGTCCCCAAGCAGTGAGCAAGACATTCTACAAATGTGTAACACTTTAGATCATAAAAGACTCAGATGTTTGAATGTCCCAACTTGGAGGGACATTTGCCATGGAGGGAACTGGAAAGACGTGTACTTAAAGAGGAAGACCACCTCAAGATACGCTATATCTTATCCTTTGCAGATTGTCAACATGATTTTCGCATCCTGATATGAAAAATATTCTCTGGACTCCAACCTTGTCTCACCTCTCATGAGATCATGATTGCCAAAAAAGAGAATATATCATACATTGGATATAGGGGTATGCTAGGAATGGATTCAATACAACAACTTGAAAAACATAAGACATGGTTAGTTACTTTCTGGGATGTTTTAAAAATCCAATTGAAAAAGCAGAGCCAATTCTATTGTCAGTATAGGCTTTCTGTCTAGAGACAGGCTACATTCATTGCTGGTGCTTCTCCACTGGTTGAATTCAGGAAATACATGCAGACAAAAACATTAGTGACGACATAAAACACAGCACTGGACAATGGAAAGAAGACAGACAAAATAGCATATGCCAAAGTCACATAAAAGCAGGATTTATAGCACATTCAAATTACTTGGATTTGAATGGAAGAAACGGGATTGGTTTGGAGATCCAAGGAAGAGAAAAATGAGGTAAGAAATTTCAGAAATTTTCCAATGCAAAAGAAATTTCATCTCAACCAGGGATGCACTGTTGGCACTATTCTTTTGCCTTTTTTGAGAGAGGGGGGGGGGGGGGGGAAGAGTTTGAGGGACCCCCTTAAAACCAGGGAAACTACTCATGTAAGAGAGAAGTAAAAATGTAAGTGGGTTGCTCCCAGCATACAAACTTAACTATTTCCTTTCTTCTTTTCCTCCCCACTATGCAAAGGCCAAAGCTTTCCAGTCTCTTACCTAATACTTCTCATCTTCAATCCCCATCTCCCCAATATTCTAAGAACAGTATAGCATCTTTCCCTATTGATGAGAAAAAAAGTTCCCTTTGACCCAGGAAGACTAGTTACAGCATGAGCACTTACAAAACAGACTGAATTCACAGATGCAACAGATACACAAAGGAATGATAAGATACACATAAGAATAACCAAGATTTCACAAGACCAAAAAGTAAAATCCTGACTTAATCATTTCTCTTAACTCAATAGAAGAGTAGCAGCCTTGGATGTTACAGGAAGTAACACACTGGAAAAGTGTGACATCAATACTAATAGCTAACCACACATGTGATCCTTGGGTATTACAGAGGCAGAGCTGTCAATGGGAAAGGACCCTTCGTATGCAACTAAAGTCATTCCAGGGTGTCAGCTTTCTTGTTTTGTACCTTGATTCATTCTGAGCTCAAGTCATAGCTCAAGTCAGAGCAGACAAATCATAAAATGTTGGCCCAAACTTAGTGATTCTCAGACATCTACCTCAAAGGCTCACATGATTCAGTTGCTCAACATATAAGTAACAGAAGAACTGTGAATGGTTAAAAAAAAAAAAATTTAACCCAGAGCAAGATTGCCAACTGTGTTGACATATGAACAGAGAAGCATTAACTGGCAACAGAACAAAGGAATCAATACCAACACATTTAATGCCTTGTCTTCTTAAGGCTACGTCCTTCTGTTCATAGATCATGAACAACAAATTTTGTTGATATTTGAAGTGATACAAAAACCTCACTGCATGTTAAGATCCCCATCCCAGAAAAATAGTAAAATACTTTTGATAGACTGTTGGCAAAGAATGAAGCCCTATATGATCACCAGTGACCTGAGGTCTGTTTGGGCCCAAATCCCATGCATATGTAGCAGCAGCCATTAATATGACATGATTACTTCTTCAGTGTGCTGCAAATCAAGTTTTGTACAGAAAATGTGAACTGAATATGACATGGACAAGAACAAAACACAGGATTTTGGATAAATATGTCATAACCATTAAGAGAACAACAAGGGAAATCAACAGCAAATGTTTACATGTACATTGCTACAATGCAAAAGACTAGTCTGTATCACTGGAATGTTTTCTTGTATTGCACCAATTGCAGTTTAATTTGGCTTGACTACATAAAGTGTCATATCATTGCAACAATGCCAGTCACCAAAGTGAACATTTTCTATTTTTGAGTTGAGCGCACCTCTAAACTTGCCAGACTGTGATCTTTCTAATGCCAGAATTGCCAATCTGCTGTCTTCATTTATTGCACTTGCAAGATCTCATAGGAATAAAACCTACAATGTCATTCTGAATTGTTATTCCTTTCTGTAAACATTATCTAGCTCTCCTGCACAACAAAGGAAATGCACTTAGGTGATTCTGGAATTGTAGCAATGATATTACTTAAGACTTTTCAAATTAACATCACTAATTTTTGGAAAGACTATATGGGGCTTAATAGAGTATATATAGCTAGAGCATATGAACTCAATTTAAAGCAGTCCTGAGCAAATAAAATTATTTAGACAATCCAAATTCACTGTATGAAAGAGTGGGATCACTTTGCCATAGTAAATTACAAGTTTCTTTGGTCTGATTTTCCAGATGCTTTAGAGGAGAAATTATACTTACTTAATGTAAAGTTTTGAATGAGCTGCTCAAGGCATGATATGGAGAGTCTAATTCTGAATGAATACAACATAACTTATTAAACAGGCAAAAAGGAAAAAAGTGAGGTTGACTGAAGAATGATGGAAGTGAACTGAAATTCAGATGCCAGCTGGAGCATCACAAACGTGGGAGATACAATGCTCTGGAAGCCACATAAATTCCCGTGTCTCATTGGTGGATGATGGTCCACAATGTGGTGGAATCTTCTTCCCCAGCTGGATGCGAATAGATCCCATTCTCTGCATATACAAGATGATGGATAAAAAGGACACAATTGACATAAGTATTGACATCTATCCAGTTCAACAAATGGAAATAGGATGAAGACCTTGGCATTCTTGGAGGCAGCCTCATCAAAGTCAATCATGGGGTAGGGATAGTCTTGGCCAATGATGCAGTCAGCCTCTTGCTGCACCTCCAATGGAGCACACCAAGGATTGTGAATATATTCAGCTGGGAACTTGGCCAGTTCTGGAATGTATCTCCTGCAAATGCCAATTTCTATTGCATATCATCATTATCAGATCATGATAGCTTAGCTAACAACCTTACATCTTGCAATTCAAATCAGAAATACATGATTATACTGTAAGGCCAATTTGCTGATAACAAAATCCAAAATTTGAATTTATTCATAGCAAAAATCAAAGGCAGTGGTTGTTGCCAGAAAATAATACAAACCACAAGTCACTAGCAGAAGCCACCAGCTATGGGAACAGATTGTTTCTAAAAAGTGCTAAGGGTTGTCCATATGCATGGTGCCCCAAAAAGTGTGCAAGCATATCAGGTTGAGAACTCCCCTGACCCTGCCAGAGTTAGGCCTCATGTGAACCCCCTTTTCAGTCAGGATGAATGAGTGCACTCTCTCCTGTCCACACCTCTTTATTGCCCGTGAGCATTAGGGGAAGGAGGGTGAAGGCAATAAAAAAAATGGGGTTCTCAAAGTGAAGTGAGTATAACTTGATGGAAAGAGAAGAATTTTTCAAACATGATAGATGACCTTCCCTTCCCCGAATTCCTTGTGCTATTTGCAGCACTAGCTTGCCTGCTTCAAGAATTTTCTACGGAGGACCTTAACATATTCAAACCAGTCTGATTCCAGTAGGATTGCTGGAACCCTACTTAATAGGAAAATGTAATGGCTCACTTGAAGAAGTTTTTCATGATATGGAAGAACAGAAGCATCATATTCTACAGGATATGATATGAAATCAAAGGGAATCAGGACATGGAAATGAACAAGAGAAGGTAGGAGATCAGGAAAAAAATGCTTACTTATCCAGCGAGTCCCATCAATGGAAGAATTTGAGACCAATATCTGAAGGGGAAAATTAAGACCCTACTTCTAGAACCCTTTCCATGTAAGCACAGAAAAACCATCATGACTCAATGAATATCTGCCCTTTTTGAATGAGTTTGCAAAGTTTAGTCATACCTGCAGAAATATGAGAAGAATGGTGAATGGGGGTGTCAAATAGTATCACATTTTTCCAAGATGAGCATAGTTTTTGGGGATTATATTCATTTATGGACAAATGTTTCTGGATCTGTCACACCTGCATCCTACACCAGGGCATGATATTCTTTGGGCTACCTTTTCCCTTAAAATATGAGCTGCATGCTCCAGAGACAGATTCAGTGTTGAGGGTAGGGGAAGAGGGGGCTGATTTCCCCTTCTTTCTCCAAAATTTCTGCAAAGGCTTACCTAATTCATGCCAATGGTATTGTAACATTAATGATTACTAAATACAATATGTCATTTGGTCTGCTGGCACAGCTTTTCTTGATATAACTGGTGTCCATAGTACTGAGTCTCAATCATGCAGCAATCAAACACTATCCACAAGTGTTAGTGATATTGATACACCAGAAATGGTTGGGTGGTTACTTTCCCAGAGATTGTAAACGACGAAGATAATAAATAAGAGAAATCTAAGGAGAATTAAATTACAAAAGTTAGGGCGTCTCCTGTTAACTGCTTTGGTAGAGATCTTTCATCACAGTACTCATAGCAGACTATGTCAGTTTGAGTTTTTGAAAACAAGTAATGCCCTACAGCTGAGTCTATGAATGGACTAATGAGGTCGCTAGAGAATTACCGGATGTAGTCACCAGTGGGCTCCAGTCGCCGCCCATATGCAACAGGGGAAAGGCAGTGGGAGCAGTCCAGAATAGTCTCAAAAGCAGAACTGGAAATCCAGAGCCAGTTCCCAGAGCAGACAGACCAGTCTGCATCAAGAAGATGCTTCAAGAACACTTTCAGTCCATCTTCCCAGGAGATCCACAGACCTCCACGAGTGAGAAACTGGGCTACTGCATTCCTGGCCACATGATGAATCCAGCCTTCCTATGGGAGCATCATAAGTTACAAAATTTTCAAAAATTTCTTGAAAAAGATGAATATCAACAAGAACCTTGTGAAGTGAGACTTACTCTAAGGAGCTGCCTCATGACAGCATCCACAAAGGGGAAGCCAGTCTTCCCATCCTTCCACTGCTGCAGCTCCTTCTGCTTGTGTCTCCATGGGATCTGAAGGCAAATGGGATTCTCCTTCACTCGATCATAGTTGGGGTTTCCAACAGACATGGCATAGAAGAAATCCCGCCAGATGAGTTGGGCGGTCAAGTGGACATGACATGGTGGCTTCCCCTTGTGTATCTCCGCAAATAGATCATGAATTCCCCAGTACATCCTAAGAAGGGATTGTGATTTAAATCATGGTATTGTACATTATGTAGCCTGAATGAAAAAGACTTTTAGTCACTTTCGGATGGAGAGGCAACCGTAACGAAGATATGGACTGAGACTTCGAGATGGACCCAGGAGATCTGGCCTGGCTTGATTGGGAAGGTAAAAGTTACGCTTAAATGCATCAGCTTCTACTGCAAGTCTCATGTCAAAGAGGAGTAGAGCCTGAGTTTCCCCTCCAATCCAGGAACCAGAGTTTTCTTCAATGTCAGCAGGGTGACTGCACTTCACATTTAGATCTTCAGGAGTTGGAATTTCTGCAAATAGCTGAAAGACAATTCTGAGGTCAATGAATTAATTCCATTCCTTCAGAAGCAAGTCATATTAATATTTGTCTCACATTCAGTTCAGCAGCCAATCCTACAGGAACAATTCCAAATTTCACAGATGAGAAATCAAGCCTCTCTTCTGGATGAGGTGGTTCTCCAATGGCAGATGTCACTTGCTACACCGAAAACCAGTCATACACATATTATTTCATAAACAGAGAAATTAAGGAAATAATAAGTTAGAGATGCAATACCAGAAACATGGTATATGTAAGTGGAGGGACTCCCCCATTCATATCTACCACTTCTTTTGGATCCCAGAGGGTGTGAGAGACCTCCTCCCTACATTCTATGCCAAGTTCTCTGCAGCCTTCTTTTACTGCCTCATCTCTCTCATTCCAGATTGGCTCACAGTCCTACAAGCACATATGTGTTCAATATCATGCAATTACAACTGAACAAGAACCAAAGGTAAACATGGAATGTAAAAAAGTAAAGTCTCAACTTTTTTTGAGAGAGAGACTATGAATCTTCTCATACCTGTTCAAAAGTGACTAAGTTGACTCCAAGGACATCATGAAGTCTGGTAATGACTTTCAAGGGTTTTTCACGAAATACAAGTAGCTGCCCACCATAACTGTGAAGCTGGCAATTGAGATCATGTAAGGACTCCAGTAGAAACTTCATTCTGTTGTATCCAATCAGCTTGGTCCCTTACAAAATAGAAAAAAATTTAATTTAATTTTTGAAAACCCAAGTAGGACTCCAAGAATCTGACATTAATTGACTAGCCAAAACTATATCTGATAATCTTTGATACTTACCTGCAGATTCTCCGTCAAATGTGAACATGACATAGAGTTTCTTGGCATTAGCCGCAGCATAGCTAAGAGCTGGATTGTCATGCAGTCTTAGCCCATGACGAAACCAATGCAAGGCAATAACTCCAGATGTCCTCTGTCTATGATTCACCCTTTCAAAGTCTTCCATTTTTTAAGATCATCAATTGATGGTTCATAAGCAACTATAAGCCAAGGTCGAATTGGGAGTGTGAGATCACATTTTGTGCAGTTTTTAACAGTGCAGAGGGTGGGGTTAATGTTATGCAATGTAAGATTATATAAACAAGAGCTAAACCCATAACACAAGACCCATTCCCATTCATCTTCCTGTTTTGTTTTGTTTTTTTACAAAATGCAGAAATGCCTACCCTAGTCTTCTGTAATTGAAATGAAACAATATCATGTAATGGTTGCATCTGATATATCTGAGATGATTTTTTGTTGGCTAAGGCAGAATGGAGTAAGCTCACCATTTTCTTTCCTGACAAGGAAAGAGTAGGCACATATGCTGTTGGTGAATTCAACGATTTACCCTTAATAAAATGCCACTGTCAAAATGTCAAAGCCAATTATGAAATTATAATGGTAGTGCTATATCAAAAGAACTAAAGTATACTAGTGGTCACAATACTGAAATCTCCAAAGGAAAAATAAACAAAAGGGTGTGAAGCTTATGTTGCCATCCTTAGTCCCCTCCAATACTCTACACTTTTCCATGCACTATTCATTCCACTGCCATGAATCACTTCTTATGACAGGCAACATATGTCAAGTTGCACTGGATAAGGACTGTATTACATATGCTACTTGGCACAAGAGCAAGGATAATTTACATGGGAAAAAGCATGTTTGTACAAATGATGGTATTGCTGGATGGCTACTGGTGAGGGTGGTGCTCTAATGGAAATCACCTATGGTAGGGTTAACCACTACACCATTTCTTCCATATAAACATGTTTCCAGTTGCTGTGCCGGGGGTGTCCCAGCAGGATCTTTGCAATGCTTAAGGGGTCAAGGGAAAGACTGGTTCTAAAGAAAGAGTTTGAGATAAGTGGGGTGATGGTATACTAAGTACTGACATATCAAAGGTTGACTGCACTAGTAGATGCCTTTCACAAGTAAAAAATGTATTTGTGTTTTTTAGCCATCACCTTATGAAATAGCATTAAGGCCATAGGAATACACTCAATGTTAAACAGGAAGCCTGGCACCTACTCTCCGCTGAAGTAATCATCTCTCAATAGCTTATCTTCATGCCACAAAGGAATGAAGGATTAAGAGCAATGGCTTATAAGCCTACAGCAGAGATGCCAAGACCTTTGGGTCATTGGCACCATACAGCTTGTGGGCCATGGGCTGCAGGATAAAATAGTTGCAATACTGTATAATACATGTACATTATTTAAACAAATGAATATTCACCTATTTTGTGCTCATATCCCACTTGTAGAGTTGAGAATCCTCAACAACAAAAAAAATTCCCCCAGTAGTGCAACTAGATCCAAGTTTCAGGGAGCTTTGCCACTTTTCCTGCCCATTGCCATCAGTATCAGGAGATGAAAAATTATTGGGGCAGCCAAGACCAACACAATGCAAAGAAGTAAGGAGGGAGGGGTGGAGGATGGGCAGAAATGTTACTGTGCATAAAAATTAGTCCAGTAAAATCAGGAGGCACTCTCCATATGGACCATTGCCTGTTATTTCAGTTGAGGATGGGAAGCTTTTGGGACTTCAAGGAATTCCTCAAAAAGGAAGGAAAAGAATATAGACCTCATTTGTCCTGGGAAAGCCACGAAACTAAAGTGACTTGATTTATCGCGAATGATTCAAGCCACAAAAGTATTGAAGTAGATGATAAAAATTAAAATTAACAGGCATAGGAATGCAGTTGGTATAGTTCTTTTTTATTTCTAGCTCAATAAGGCCTATGTACATTAAATGAAGGAAGGAAAACGTCCTGCAGACTAAATAGGCCAAGTAGGTCTCATCGACCAACGCAAATTCTACGCAATAGATATTTCCCTCTTATAGGTCAACTTTCTTGAGTTTAGTGAGCTTTTTCTTAATTTTGGAAATCCTTCCTAGAGCGAGCCAAAGGCTGGCCGAATTTCAAGCACATCCACTATTACCATGTCCAACAAAGTGAGGTATAGCCCTGACAAGAGGAGACGCTAGTTGGGATAACACCATGGGTAATGATCGCGCGTGCTCTTTGCGAAATTCAGTAGTCACGTGGAGGATGCCGCGTGACTGGGAGACTACCTATTTTCATATCTCAACCAATCACAAACCTTTTCGTAAATACTGACGTCAGTCAATGGCCTCCTACGTTCAGTGAGGAACACGTGTATTTCCTACCCGCAGTTGCATCATTTTGGCATGTTTGGAGCTGCCTCACCAGCGATGATTCCTTTTCTTCTGCAGACAAAATCAGACTGAAAGTTCTGGGTCGTCAGTCTTGCGAGAATGAGTCGTGAAAGCTTAGCATTCAAGATTCTGCTGTGCTTGAGCACAGCATGCCTATATCTTCCTGGTGTATGTGAAGCAGGTGAGAATGATCTTTGATATAATTTTCTAATTATACCTTGAGCTTGGACCTGTTGCTCTGCACTTCCTTCAAAGTTACTTATTTGAATAATCTAAGTTTGCTTGTGCTGCCCAGACTTTTGTGAAATCCCAAATAACATGAACATACTCAAAGATGTTCAACCTGTGTTCAAAGACGTTTTTGAACGCTCAATGTTCATGGATGAGCAGCTTTTGAGCACTCAGCTAAGGTGTCCTTTGATCTCCAATATCTTTCTCCTCATGACGCTTCTGGAGAACATTAGTTAAACGTTAAAGAGATGTTTTCTTTAGGCATATCTGTGCTACATGGTTTGGGTTGTACACAAACCATTTGACCATGACTAAAAAAATCTTAGGTTCACTTAACTGGAGTGAGATGACATCAAAATAGCCACTCTAGAGAGTCAATACCTGATAAAGGTAGAATCAGTCCTCAATATTTTTTACACTGTACCTGGTCTTTCCCAGTAGAATTAGTCCTCAATATTTTTTACACTGTACCTGGTATTTCCCTACAGACAAGAGAGAAGCACTTTATTGCACCATCTCATGGCATTTTTGTAAAATTTCGGATAAAACAGCGTATAATCACAGAAAAGTTCCTCTATTCCAGCATTGTCCACTTGGTCAGTGAGTTTTGTGTTTTGGTTGCAAGATAGTAGATGGTATGTCCTGGCTGAATCCCTGCAAAATTGACACACATCCTTCTTTTGCTTGGTTGAATGCTTTGTTTTTGCATATCTTGAAGTGAAATCCATGGAGGGAGTATTGAGTTAGCACATGTCGAATGTCGTTTGGTCCAGTCCAGTGGTCTCCTGTTAAAGCTGGGGTTTTCCAGAAGTCATCTATGCCCCTTTTTTTTCTTCCTTTCAACCTCTATTCTATATTTCTGGACTTGTTCATTTTCAGGGAGATTCATTTCCTTAAGCAGATCTTCAACTAATGTTTCCTGGTGACACATTGCCAACACAAGTGTGTTGGATGCATTTGGGGGCAAGTATAGCATCCTTTTCAGGAAAGTGGTTTTTGCCTGGTCTAAGGTGTGTAGGTTGGCTACTTTCAGGTGAGGCCAGATGTGTTGCAGAGTGTATATAAGGATTGGTTTAATTTTGATGTTGAATAGCTTATTTCTGGCCTGGAGGGACAACTTACATGGATTTGGCAGGAAGAACATTGCTTGCATAGCTTTTAAGACCACATTCTTGATATGTCTTGTAAAGTATGTAGGAGTATGTAACTCCTAGGTAGGTGTATGAATTGGTTATAGTCAGGGGGTGACCATCAAATTCAAAAGTGTCAGTGTTGGTGCAACGACCCCCCCCTCCTAAACTTCACGATTTGCATCTTCTCTATGAAGGATCTCTCTGAAAAGGATCGAGGATGCACCAAGATGGCAGCACCCTCTCCTCAGCCTACCCTTTCCCATTCACAAGACAGTGCCTTTCTTGAGTCCTTACCACCATGGGACACATTGCCAGAACCAGTGCAAGCCTTAATCCTGGAACTAAAATTTGCCAGAGGACAGACGTTTAGGCCTAGGCCCATTATTGAGCCTAACTCTTCCCCACAGACAACACGAGAAGTTATTCTTCAACATATTCTTTTGAAAAGGTAATCCAGTTCAATGAGTCTCCAGGAAACTCTGGCTTGGGAGGATCAAGAGAGGATGGTTCAACTTTCAAACTGAACCCATGGGAGGCTCTTTAGGGAGATCCCATAACATTGCACATTATTGCTGTTAAGGTAGAGTGATCTGATTTTTTTCAGGGAAAACTGAGACTTTTTGAAGAAAATGCAGGAATGTTAGTCCCTGCAATGGGAAAAAAAAAAAACTGAAACACCAGAATGGGAAAAAAAATTTAGCTTGGATGTCTGGTTATGTATAGTTGAAGTGAGTGCAAGATGTGACTAACTGCAAGAAGAGTTGTATTTGGATGTGATAGATTCCTCACTATGGGTCTACTCCAACATGCAATTCCAGAGTGGGGAAAGAACTGCTGAGCTGATGGAAATATCAGGAAGAGTTGTGCTCCTGTAAATGAAGTTTAAATCACATAGGGAGGTGTGAAGGTTGACTAGGAATTCAAACTTCCTCCACAAAGGAAGGTAGTCCTCCCAATCAGAAAAGCTTGGCTAGATGATGACTCTTGACACAGGAGCAGGATTGTACTTGGACTTAATGCAATTTAAATGATGAAAATATATTTTCCAAGATGTTGATTGCATGTTGAATAAATCCTAGAAGAGGAAGTTATTTGAACATTTAGGCACTGCTTGGGAGTATTCAATTCACATCCATGGTGAATGTTCAGGAAGCCCATAATTTGAACTATTTTTAAGTGCTCTAAATTTGAATATTTAAACAGTCAATAGAATTTTCTCAAGGATGTTCACCACACATTAGTGACACCTGCAATGGGACATTGATTGAACATTCGCTGATTGATCTGGTATTACTTGGGCTAGGTCTGTCATTTGCAGAGAATGTGAAGGTTTGCAAGTTTTAAAGGTGTTTTGGAACATAGGGGCATTGTGTGATCTTCATGGCTTCCAACAAAAATGATTTCTATATGGTGTTGTTTCTTCTTATCAGCAGCTTTCAAGGTCAGATATTGTCATTGAAATTCAATGTAGCCTAGAGCAACATCAAGGATCCTTGGTCATCACCACCAGCCAGCCACTGTTTTCACTGGACTACCTGCAGTAGTTTCCCCTTCCAGCAGCTCAATTCCATATCAAAGAGATGCAAATTCTTTAATCAGGACTCATTGATGAGTCCCATGATAAGTGTGCCACATACCCCTCCATAGGATGGACTGTAGACTTCCATGCAGCAAATCTACACCAGCTGAAATGAATGCATACTGACAGGTGGACAAAGTTTAACACCAGAACTATGAGAGTGGTCATTTTGACTACTGTATTAAAAGCAGTATAAAGCCATTATTCTATAACATTTTATTTGTTTTTTCCAAATGTTATTTGGTATGTTCAAGAGGTTCAAATGTGGATATTAGATAGGAAAAGAGAAAAAATGCAGGGGTCCTTGGTTGCTCAATGAGCAGAGTAAAGTGGATTTAAAGTCAGCAAGCATTCAAAATGACTCCTCTTGTAGTTCTAGTGTTAAGGGGGCCATGTCACTTTGGGGAAGGTGTGTCCTGGCAACAATTTTTTTAATACTAACTTTGTGATAGGTTCTTATGCATTCTCATGCATGTAAATCATGCATTGAGTCAACAGAAATGGTGTAGTTGATTTTGTGCATGTGGAGGTCTGTATTGTTCATAAATGAGTATTGGTACAGCTTACAGAGTGATTCTTGATGTGTTTGTTTGTGGCAAGATCCAGGCAGCCATCATCATCCAACTTTGGTGACAGCAAAGGGTCCTATGGCAGCAGCACAGTTCTGGTAAAGGTATCCAGTATTTATGTCCAGACAGCCCTCCTCAAATCCATAAATAACAGTGTAATGGGATAGAGGTGCAGTGATGAGGCATTGCATCCCTATGTGCAACTGAATGCAGGAGCTATTTGGTTCAATTTCACATTGATAATAATGCCCACTTACACTGTGCCAATCTCATATATGGACTGGCTTTCAAGGTCACTAGACCCCAACCACACACAACTTGCCTGGGATGCCCTTTGACAATTTGTAGTGAACCAAAATCAGTCACCACACCATTACCTTATCACTGCCTTTTTTGAAAGAATGGGGTGGAATTTCACAGGAACTTCTTGGCATTTATTGGGAGAAAAACATGTCACTGCCTGCAATGCTGCTTGTGAGGACAAAACACCATACCCAGACCATTACTGGACAAAGAGGGTTGGGTAAAGTTATATATGCCACTGTTCTTTGTGCTGACTAGAACTTCATGCATGAAGAATAGGAATAAATTTACATATCAATCTTAAATTGAGGAGTTCTCTGGAAAAAGGGTGTATGTGCAAAAGATGCAATTCAAGATAAACGATAAAAACTTCCCATAGCTAATCTGAAGCTGGACAAAACTTAATTATTAGTAAAATGGTATCTTAGACCTTTTTCTAATTAAACTTGGGGTTTAAATGAATCTCTCATTGCTGGGATGCAGGCAGAAAGTTTTTATGCACATATGCCCTTTTTCCATATCTGCACTGCTGAAACTTTTTCCAAGTCTTTCAACACTTCTTTCTAGTTAAAAATAATAATTAATCAATAAATGCATCTACAGATTTCAAATAAACTCCTTGAAAAATAGCAATGAAAATTTGGATATTCAGGACACGTTTCATTCTCAAATTACACAGCAATGATCCATTATTAATGTGTTCATCATCTGAATCTTCAACTATTTCATGGATATCTCCAACTTCTCACATCCTTCCAGTGGCTTGAATGACTGGGTCTCTTTCTTTTCCTTTCCTCATGTCTGGTTTCTTCCTTATTTTCATTCAGTTTACAAGGACGAAATAAATCCTCCAAAATCGTTCAGCATGCAAGTGCTAATGGAATATTCATGGGGGCAGCCATATTGAAATTGCCAGGCAGTTGGCCTTCTATATAGTGAAATCATAGGAAAATCTGCTTCTCCTTTACTGAATATGCATGTTAACTATTAGCTGACCACCCTATCCTATGACTAGTCACCTAAAGCAGCACATGCACATGGATATGGAAAAAGGGCGTATGGGCACATATGCCCCTTTTCCAGAGAACTCCTCAATTACATACCAACTTAATTAGTGTATTTTAGCTCAACAAAGTTAGCTATTTTGACCAAGAGGGTGCTACAGTATTGGAAATATAAGTAACCCTTTACATTTTTTAATCAGTAGTTTTTATGAGAACAAAGTTTAAAATAAAAGCTAAAGTGGGATGCCCTTTTTCAGCATGGGGAAGCTCAAATCGAGTGAGACTGGGGGATGTAAAGACCCTGACTTTGACAAATGGCAAGATGACTACAGCCAGAAGAGGATCGGCTGTTCCTCAGGTAAAATGTGTTGGAGGTTCTGCAGGGTGCAGTGCATTCACGCCACACGTTATCCAGTGCTACAATCAAGGATATGATGGAAGGACATATCAGTGGAAATGTGTAGCTGACATGGATGATAGATATACGTTTGGCCGCACAGATGTCACCTGTGAGGGATATGACAGTCCATATGATGAGCACATCCTTGCTGGATCTTGTGGGGTGAGCTTTATCCACCATCCTCCTTTCATTGCTGTCATCAAAACAAGTCAGTTTTCATTTCTTCAAACCATTCTATGCTGGCCATGAAGGTGGAGTATACATTGGAATTGACTGAGGCTGGAAGAAGAGATAAAGGGTCTGGTGACTCATGGAGTTCAGGTCATTCATATGACAAGCACAGTGGAAGTGGTTGGGGTGGTAACTTCATTATCATGATTGTTGTCTGCATACTCATCTATGCAATCTACCGAACCTGTGTTGCACAGGAACATCTATCAACCAGGTAAAGAACAAAATGAAATGGCTTACAGTTCTTTTAATTGAGCACTTGAGTTTTCGGTTTTCATATTGGATTTTCTTTTTTAGCTATAATGCAGATGATTACCCATCAGATAACCCCACACCTGGTGGAGGTGCTCCTCCACCATATGGTTTCCACCCAGATTACACACAGAGGCAGCCACCTCCTCCACGTGGTTTCCGCCCAAATTACACACAAAGGCAGCCACCACCCCCACAGGATACCTGTGGGCAGCCCCGAACAGAATCACCAGGCTTGGGTGGATTCTGGACTGGAGCTGCCACTGGAGGACTTCTTGGCTATATGTTTGGTAACAGGAGGTATGGTGCCCTTCATTACTTGCCTATGACACTATTTCCAATGCACACCAGCTGGTGGTGTACTGTAGTACAATAACAAGCAAGTCAATTACTGCACAAGAACAACAAATGGGACTTAATTTTAGAGATCACTTGGTATATCAGTTGCCAATATGGGCATATCGGCAAGTATTCTTATTTGCTCTTTCAAACCTTCAGATTTTTGCTGATGTCAGAAGTAGAGTTCTGTTCGATCTATACAGTGAAAGAAAATATAACTAGGACTATCTTTTTCATGCTCATATGGAAACCCTGAGATGTGATATAGTCAATATGGCATCATCCAAGGGGTGAGGAATCATGGGTCTTTCACTCTGCTCACGTTCCTGGTCTGGCATATAGACAGACATTTGCACTAAGACATAGGTTAGGCCTATGCTTTGCAGGCCTAACTTCATTGTGAGTTCATAAAGGAGAATTTTAAATAAAATCAAGCTGTTCTGTTGAATCTCCAATATGGTTTTGTTTATGCTGAAATATCAGCTATCATACCAGCTATCAGCTTCATATATTGGCTATTGGAAAAAGTAAAATCCAACATCAGTTGATCTCTACTTAATTTCCATACATCCTTTTATAGCCAGCTCACCGTACAAAGAACATACCATCACACTAGTGCTTTGCTCTTGAATTAAAACCCCACAGAATAATAAACATTCGTGGATTTGTGTGTAGCCAAGGAGATACATACTATGGAAGGACGCAGCCTGGTAGTGGTTGGAGAAGCAGCAGCCCAACATACACACATGTGCACTCAACTGGTACGACGGGAGGGCCCTCTCCGGAGAGACACCGAAGACGTGAAGCAACAGGCTTTGGTACCACCATCATGCGATGACTCCCATTCTCCTCCCACACCTACGATCCATTAACTTGACTAGAGGAGCTATCATTCCCCAGAACCCCCTCAAGAGAGATACCAATGTGAAGGAACAGGCTATGGCACCACCATTATGCAATGACTCCTGTGCCTGTGATCCCTTAACTTCACTAGAGGAGCTACCATTCTTTATCACATCCTCAGGATTGAGTGAACCAAAAGTGTATTTTATTATGTCATTTCAGATCTTATGGAATGCATTATCATGCTGGGGAAACAGCTTTTAATGGAGTAGGCCTACCAGTCCTATCTTCATTTTTATGACTGTCTTGCTGCTGAATAAGAACTAGGTTAAAAAGTGGCTTACACATTGCACATGGCTGAAACTGTACAAACAATGGGATTGTCAAAATAAAAATGGAAAAAATTGAGCGTTCTCATCCTCACAAACTGTCACAATAAGAATGTCCACTTGACTCAGGACTAGCATAAAGCCAAATGAGTATTAAAAGCACTTCACACAGTAATATCAAAGTTGTGAATCCCAATGAAAGAACTGCATAGAGACGGGAATGAGGATCCATGAAAAAGATCCCTAAGAATGAAGTGAGGTAGGTGTTCAGAGACGGAGATTCTTGAGTTTTGGGAAAGGGAGACGCTTCTGATGCTTAGACAAATCTGCCAGTCGACATCTGCTATCTTCTCTTGCCTCTGAGTCTGGAAATCTCTTCATGTAGATATCTGGATATGTGGCTCTGAACTAGAAAATAAAATGAACAGAGGAGACTTCAAAGTAATTTCTGAAGAATTTATTAGGAAAGTGTCAGTAGTGCTGAAGTTATCAAATACAGAGAAATGTTTATTTGATGACAATCCATCAGTGTTAAGTTCATTACGGATGAATGACTCATCTTCTCTTGGTCCAGATTCTCTAGTTTCTGGAAATGTGTGAAGTGGAAGAAGTTCTTTAGCTTTCGGTTACCTTGAACTTATTTTCCAGTCCACATGAACTCCATGAACACAGAAGGTGGAAAGTAATTTGTCTGAAGTCTGAGGACAGTTTAGCTATTCATGTTTTGGAGTATGGCATTGCTCTAAGATACTTTTTCCACCACTCAAGCTGTTATTAGAAGAGACTACTCAGGCAGTTGCTTCAGCACCAAAGAAAGAATCCATTGCCACACAATGGCAACATTGGGACATAACAGCAAAACTGCAGGTGCAGGCCAATAACTTAAACTACGGAAAGGCATTTTATAAAACTTTATCTCCAGATTGTAGCAGTAGACTAAATCCACAGGATACATACCGTCTCATAGGGAACTTAGAGGTTATATATCTGTAATGTGCATATGCATTTAGCTTGGGGAAGATACCACATCCAATGTCCAGATCTCCCCATGGCACCAGTGGTCAACTCCCCACTGCCCCATCTCTTCTCCAAATAATCTCTTACTAATCTGAAGTCTGTACTATTCAGACTTCTTTCTCATCTCCTTACTTCCTATTTTCCCTTTCTTTGATCTCCTCTTTCCTCTCATTTTTTCTATCCATCTTGCCTTCCTGATATTCACTATTCTTCAAGGCAACATAGTTATTAGAGTAAAGAGCTTTATTTTTCCACCTCTGGACCATCCTTTTCAAAACTAGAAAAAATAATCATATTCAGTGTTAAGAATCAGATGATGTAGAAGATCTGTACCAAAATTTCTCTTTACTCATTTGATACCAAGTAAGCAGGTGCATTCATCACATAGGTTTACACAACCTCTTGGTCAGAAGATGGGTGAAATTTGGTGAATATGGTGCATATTGGTTCGAGTGAAAAAATCTGATGATTTGATGATAGGCATCTATGGGAATGACTAGAACCATTCTTGAGGTCCCTGCACACCAAATCAGCCCAGTCAATATATTTAAATCCCCATTGTTCAATGTGTGATTTGATATTCACTTCACATTGCATCAGTCCAATTACTTGACTTTGACTGGACTAGACTATAATGATTTGGTGACCTCTAAGCTTCCTGAATAAAATGAGATCTGTGCTTGGACATGTCACTCCATAGGTTACATTGCCTAAAATATATTTTGACTTAAAAGAGTGTACTAACTTTTTTAAGATGCTTTGTCCTTTCCTTGGTTGAGAATTTCTCATTCTGAAGAATTCCATCCAGGAGAGTTAGAAGGCCTTGTTCAGAAGAGACCTGCTTTTGGACCTCAAATACAACTGCGGGAACTTGTTGACAATATGTAATTGGAGTCCCATCATCAACCTCATACTGGATCTGTACAAGGAAGGAAATGCATTCAAAAATAAATTTTTCTCTCTAGAGAAAGGAACTTGTTGCATAGGTAGAGGAGAGGATACTGACACGAGCAGACTGCATGCGCTGCAGTTTGGTGCGAACTTGTTCAAGCAAAGTGTATGGAACACGCATCACATCTTCATGATTCTCCATGAGGAATGTGGTAATGCGGAGGCTCAGTAGTTCATCATGATCTGCATCTTCCTTTGCTCTCAAGATGCTCCGGGAGAATGTATTCAATACCTTAGGAGAATCTTCCAGTTGGAAAACAATTTTCCCTTAAGCTAAAGACAAATAATTTTTAAAAGCATACCAGACTCCTGTTATCAGATTCATTGGAAAGGAAGAGTTGGGAATGATTGGTGATTTTATCCATGAAGCGAAGGAGAATCTGAAGCTGTCGCCTGTGTCCAGGAGGTAACAGGAGACACAGCAACTGCATCACTTGGATCCCCCTCAGCTTGCCTTCTGCTGTTAGCATTCCTGAAGTGCAATGCAGATCATGATTCCTCAAAACCAAGTTTACTCGACAGCTGTACCAGCCTTTTATTATGGGTTCACATTGATACATAATTCATAATTTATATCTGATGCTCAAAGGCATAAAAGGATGTGTCTAAAAAGTCTGGAACCATAGGCACTTCAACTAATTTTACAGCATGTGTTCCAGATGCTGTTCTTGTAATTAAAGTTTGGAGATGATATTTCCATTCTCTTTGAACATTGCGAAGCATATCAGTGTCGTCAATGGTTTAACACTTCACGAATTTGTAGTTTCAGATGTTCAGTGTCCCTGATCTTCACCAAAGGTTCCAGACTTTTCAGACACCCTGTAGTCTACTTTGTCCTGACAAAGCAGTTCACTATTCAACCTACAAGCCCCTAATCCTAGTCAATTTCTCCCAGGAGTTTAACATGATTCAGTGTCTCCTAATGTCTATATCATGGCCAGTGCTCTGGGAGGGAAAAAATTTCAATTTCATCCTGTGAATTTCAAGGAAAATCCCATGGAATCTGAGATGAATGAACACTGAACATAAGTGAGATGTGATGGATGCACAACTCTTGATGAAAATAAATCATTACATATCTTCAAGCCCCTTCCTAAATAAATACCTGTCCTGAGGGTACTGACAATCAAACAAATGGAATAAAATGAGATAGCCAATCTCAACAACCCAAAACCTCATGCACCATCACCTGTACTTTGCCAAACTATGTCTCGTTGAGTCATTCATATCCCTCGTCCATTTGTGTCAGTTTCACCTACTCAGGAAGATCAACTGTTGAATAAAACCAACCAGTGAAGAAGCAGCTTTGCATTCAGGGAAATGAAAACAAGTGCTATAAGTTGGAATGGGATCTCATTCATTTGGTTCCAAGGAAAAGTAAAAATCACCATTTCTCACTGGCTTGACATGTATCAATTATTCTCGACCTTTCTAAGGGATGCTATAGAAAGTCTCTCCAATTTTTTCCTGTCAGAGCATCATTGAGGTGTCATATCTATCACGTTAGCTTGAAAGAAAGAGAATGCTTGTTTTCATTCCCCAGGCTGAGCTAGACTACAAAGCCTACAAATTAGTAGTTGAGGCATGCACACACCAGGAGCACAAGCTTTGGCCCCATAGTAATGCTCAAGTCTCTTGCACCTCCCAAGCAGGCGTTTACTTGGAGCCTTCACCATCTTCACATGATCACCTGTCTCAGGCTTCAAGTTTGGATTGTAGAGGTCTTCATCTGAGTGTCGAAGAAGACGAGACACATCCCCCAAGTTCTCATATATCCCCCCAGGACTGAAAGAACCTAGAGATGAGGATTATGTAACAAATGGAAGACAATCAAACAATGAGCACAAGGTAAGAACTGAGTAATACCCCATGATGATGAATGTGAAGACCTCTTCATGTCTGACTCAATGCCAGATGATGACCTTGATGTTCCCATGGCATCACTTGAGGGACTGAGAGCCAGATTGATGTACCCACCAGACTTGCTTCTCATATGATTAAGTAACACAGGTGAGGACATTTTGGACTTCTTCACATGATGCACATTAGTCAAAGAATCTTCTCGAATCATCCTCCGTCGGATGGAAGCTGGCTTCTCATGCCTCTCAAGTGGGAGACAGTAAATATTTTCAGCATCATCAGTGAGAGAGAGAATGGGGGCACTGCTTGGCCCTGATGGGATGCTTCCTGGTCTCATAGGCATATATGTTGATTCATCAGTAGACTGGGGGGCTAAGCTCCAGGGACGTGCAAGGACACCCTCCATCGAATGGCAAGATTTCATGGGACCTGCATGGAACACATGCCCAGAGAATAAAAGATGCTGATGCACCACAATGCCTGATGAAACCATCAATAACTCCTGCCATTGACATCAACATTAACATCTTCATGCATTGTGACAACCCTCTATCCTTGTGCTCAAGTATTCTTCTTCGGGTGTTCTTTTAGGCATATGATCTGAAAATTCCTCAAAAGACAAGTCCCAACACAGCACAAGTACATCCCAAAGATATCCCCATGGGACATGTGAGAAGTCAGGCATTACTTTCAGAGACATTGATATCAAAATATCTGGGTGTCTTTCTCTTTCTTTTTCTTGCCAAACAGGACAACCTATCATTTTCTAAGATCCCTCTCACTTCTGTCACTTTCCAAGAACTGTCACTTTTCTAGGACTTCCCAGTCTTTAATTCTTGACCAATTGGAGAATAATGACATAGGGGGAGGGAAATCCTTTGCTTGACCCCAATATAAGAGATACATATCCATGGATTAAGCTTTTTTCCTGAGGAGTCACTCAGTTTCATGGATGAGACTTATCTCATCCATGGCCATCCATTCTTTAAAGCTGAAGCATGGGCTGAGATTGCCAACCTAGATAGTGACACCCAGATATGCCAATCAGACATCATTAATGAGAATATAGTGGAATAAATTGAAATTAGGACCTCAATTTTTTTTACTTTCCTCAGTAGCAGTTTTCCTGATGTTTAGTACAAAAATCATAGCTTCTCTTCTGTACAAATGAAGTTGATAAAATAGATTTAAAAAAAAGATGCAAGATTGGAATTCAGGGTAGGGTAAAACCACCTAAGTTTGGACACTCTAATGTATATTGTTGATTATGCATTTGTAAGATTGACATCAGAGAGAGTTCTTCCTAACCCAAGATGACCATGTTGTTGAGCAAAAGACTTGTAGTGGCCACATTTGTTGAGCACAATTTCAATATATTGGACAAAAATGAATGTCATGTTATGGGCCAAATTCAAGAAAACATACAAAAATGACCCTACAAGAGAAACACATTCCATGTGGTATTGTTAATTCTGTGATCAGTTCTTATTCCACAGGAAACTAGGGAACATGCTTGCCATAAGCAGATACCTTACTGATACTTATAGATACCCTGCCTTACTTCTGGTATGTCCATACTATGTTCTGTTTGAACTTCATTTTTTCACATCTAAGTTCACTCACCCACATAACAGGAATTATTGGAAGCCATAAGGCTTCGATGGTCATAATTTTTCTATCACACTCATACCTATTCATATTGTGCTGCCACACAAAAAATGAAGTATTTGGGTTGTACCATTAAGGTGTGACGAGCAAAATACAATTCTATCCCAGCTTAACTGTCCGAAGATTGGTGATTTTACCCTACTTGAGAGATATCTGCCATCAAAGCTATGCACCTGACTGAGGGTGACAAATACAACTGAAGATGTCCCAAAGACATCCCTTTCGAGATGTCAGAAACAATCTGACTGGATGTGCCCTTAGGATATCCCATCAAGACCTTTGGACAAGTTTTCCAATTGGGGAGATCCCTGGGTGTCACCATGCTATGTGGGTCCTTATGGTTGTGAGGTTAATGGCACATGCCTAAATACCATTAGCATGGTATTATGTGTAGAGCTGGGTGGGTCTACCCATTAAACTTTTAACTCCTATTTCTCAGTCCCCTTCCAATAATGCACCACTTGCTTTTTTGGCTAATGGCATCCTCAAAACACTTTTGATTCATCTGCAGGACTTCAACACTCAAGCTTGTGTCACATGTTCCTCCACCTTTTAGGATCCAATGAAGTTCAAACCCTAATCTGCATTTTGCCTTCCATAATTTTGTGAAGGTGGATAATCTACACATTAGTAATTTAATCCATTCCCTGTTTCATTCATTTTTTATGAACAGGGAATTGACAGATGGAGTGATGGAGTTAGACAGTGTGCTTGTAGTAGTCCAGGTTGTCAGAGTGCAAAATGAACCATGTTCATTCAAGCATTCACCTCTACTAGTGCTGTGTTACATTTGGATAAAATTGAATGTAGACAATACTGGAGGAAGTCTAAATATTGAAATTGTGAGTGATTCCATTCATGTAATATTATTGATATGCCAAAAATATCAAACAGCATTGAGGGGAACCAGGGAAATGAGTTTGAGAATAAGCCACTATGATTTTGTTGCTCTCCATCAGTCACACACATACAGGTGAATGTGTAAAATCCATTCTGTTGAATTTGGCACCATTTTGCGCTTCCACGTAAAGGTTGCAACCAAGCCCTCACACTTACTCTCTTATAAATAATTTATAGATTCCTTTTGTAAATAATTTCTGTACCCTCACCCACATTTCCTGGGAAGAGATAAGGAAGAGAGGAAAAGAAAAATCATAAACCAAGAACTAGAACATGTTCTAACTACTCTATTCTCTGCTCTGAGGTAAACTTACTGAGTGAACAATGGAAAAGTCATCCCTTCCATTACAGCATGTACAGAAATATCTCATTGCAATGAGCTCACTTATAACTAGGGATTAAATTCAACAAGACAAAAATTCATCCTGGTTCATATTCACAGGCACAATGCATTACAGGCCTCCATATAAGCTCCTATACAGTGAAGAAAGTTACTTTTACAAGGACTTTAGCTGTCTGTTGTGAGGACTCTGCCATTACTCATGAGGTCCAAGTATTTAGACTCTCATGTAACTTGATACTCAAATTTTTTTTTCTACTTTTCATTTCACCCAGGAAAGCCTCAGAGATAAAAAGAAAACATGAAGGGAGCAAGGAGTGGGAGAAAAAACTTTAGATGAGTGCCAGCCTGGCTGCTTTTTTTTCCTGTTTATTTCCAGGTAAAAAGTTTCAGTAAAATAATGTTGGATCCATTGAGTACAGGAGATTGAACCCAGAGTACTTGTCAGAACGAAGACTTTACAGCAAGTTTTGAAAGCATCAATGCCTTGACCTGAATGATTGTTGGTAGGCTACATTAAAGAATCAGAAAAATAAACTAAAATATATCACAGATAAACAGTGAGAGAGATCATTTAAAAAAAGCAGAAATGCGTGAGACAAGGTATTCAGGCCTGAATTCTACATTACTTGAAGTATATTGGGTATGCAAAAAAAAAAATAACAATGACTTTTAATGCAAATATCTCTGCTCATGCTGAATTTTTGTGGAATATTCCCTTTGCATTTAAATGTGTTTCCAGCTGATTCTCAAAATTTCATTATAAATTATTTGGTCGAAACAACACTATCAGAAATTATTGAAAATAATTTAGACATTGAGAATGGACCAGGGCAATGGTAGCTGAGCAGATGATATACAAGAGAGCTCTTCTTCCTGGTCAAGATCATGTCAAACTCATCTTCCATTTAACCCTTTTCCTGTTCTGCAAGAAAATGCCCTCCACCTGGGCTACCCCTACACAAGCAGCGCACAACCAGAGTATGTACTCAGGCTAACAGCGAAAGGGTTCAATTCATCATTTGGTCATCTCTTGCAGATGGTTTTAATGAGCTTATTCCAATAAATAGCATATGAATAGATGAGTATCAATCAAGAGAGTTTTCTCAAAGTTCATGCAGAATTCCCCTTGGTTTTTTAAATTACTAGTCCATTTTCAATGTTAGACTTGCCATGGAATATCATTCATAACTTAACTTGAATTTATGGGCTTTGGTAGCCTTGTTGACATTAAAATGAATGAAGAGATGCTACATCCTCAGAAGATTTGGTGAGATAGTAATTGTGAAATTATTAGATACACTTGAAGCCATTAGCCTTTTTTGCCATACCTTGCAGACTTATGCTGATGTAAATCAAGGGAAAGTCTAAATGAACATTGAGAAAAATCTCTGGATAGATACTCATTATTCATCTGCTATTCCTTGGAAATAAACTCATTAAAACCATCTGCAAGCAATGACCAGATATAAAAATGAATTCGAAAGGAGGAGGAGTTCCTCATGGTTTTGACCAGGAAGGACAGCACTTGAACTATCCTCTACTCCAATATCAGCATGAGCTCTAGTCCATTCTCAATGTTTAACTACTTTCAATAATTGCTGGAAGTATTGTTTTGGGCTTACAAACTCAGATGAAATTTTGAGAATCAGTTGGGAAAATACAAAAATGCATAGTGAATGTTGCACGAAAATAGCTTTAGTGTGAGCAGAGATATTCATGTTAGAAGTTGTTAGTCTCTTCTTTTCTGTCCTACTCTTTATTCTGGACAGCTATGTCATACTGAGAGGGGCAGACTCCCTAGATCTATGTGGTCTCATTATCACTTAAGCATCAGGAAATTTTTATCAAGGAACTTTCCTCAATAATTTGTCAATGCATTGCAATTCCAGATTAAATCATCCATGCTATCAACCATTAATGTCGAGATGGATTTTAACATCATGACAGAGTGCAGTAAAACCAGGATTGAGTGCTTAGAGTTACCAAAGATGATGTAGTAGTAAATATTTTCTTTTGCCCCTCATCACCCCCTTCCTACTCAATTGATAATATTCAGCATTGGCAACATTCCTCATTAATCCTCTTTCTGTCAAAAATCACACTACTTCCTAGAGAGAAATCTTACCAAATGCAATGCTCTGAGGCCTCCATGTGTTGCTAAGTGAATGGCCAGATGGATGAAGGTGCAAGCTGTCAACTGAGCGCTGTGGAATGATGCGTGTCACAGGACAGTCGGATACAAAGACTGTCTCAAGGCAGCTGTATGGAGGCATTTGAGAAGAATGTCTTCTTGTATCTGATAAGATATCAAGAGAGCCATGGGTACACGTAGATGAAGGCAAGGATAAAGCACGCTTCCATACATCCCCCCTTGAGTGACGCTGTTGGTGGTGATCCACCTGGGTCTCAGGTGTTGATGTCTTACATGGACCTACAAAAGAATAATTCCTCAAGTAATGCAGTCCAAGCATTAAGAAACATCATGGGAGACATAAGAAACAGTGTTACCTATGCAAGGTGAGAAGCCAAAACCAAGATTGTCTACTGATTCAGATGAGGACACTGGAGAGATGTGCAAATGCAACCTGGGAACCTGCCGAAGAGGAGTGTTCCGAGGCCCTATAGTTCGCTGGGCAACATCCAGATACTCAGCCCTGATGAAGGCCTTAGCAAATGTGTCATATAGAGAAAGTGTTGTTAGAGGTTCTGGCAGTCCTATGAAGTACTCAATGACTAGTTCAAACACATCTGATGGGAATTCTGGATAAGAAGGAAGGTTCCTTTCACCCTCATCCCTCTTTGGCCCTGAAAACCAATAATGTGCTTCAATTTGCAAACAGGCTCCAATGCAATTGCAGATACTCAAGTCTTAAATATTAAAACTTACATTTTGTTAAACACCGCATGGCAGAAAGAACCCAGCGAGGAAGTTCATCAGCTCTGTTTGTAGGTAAGGTGAGTCCTCTTTGTGAAACTTTTGTCATGTTGTGTTCAATCCAGGCTCCATTCAAGATGTTACGAGATACCAGGTCCTCCACTTTCTTCACCCTCAGCAAATTCTGCAGTCTGAATCAAAATATTACTTTACTACCAATTGTAATACTTTTTTCCATATTTTTTTTGAAATAAATAATTGCTTAGGCTACAGAGAAATGGAATAAATAATTATATAGGAACAGAATGCAAAAAAACCCACATCATGTGACATGTTCCCCAAGTGCCATGTAGGCCATTATCATCAAGAGTTTTTATCTTGACATAATCAGTCAAGGCTTGTGAATATCAAGCATTCAATGCAGATATCAGGTAGGTAAGGGAAATGCCAGCATTAGGATTCCCCTAAAACATGCTCAGGCTGATAAAAGCAAAATAAACAACTTGAAAAAGGATTGAAATAGCTTGCAATTGGCATACTGTCAAAACCTGCCTCAGCAATATTTGCAGCAAAAGTTCATATTGAAAATTTTAATAATAATAAAACTTATCTGCAAACTTTGTAAATAGCTTCCACACACAATGTGCCTATTTTCCTCCTATGTATATATGTTGTCAAGATGTGCAAAAGCTGGAAGATGCAAATAGGGGTGAATCAGGGTGTGGTGGTGAAACAAATTAGGTAAAGGGAGTGTAGAGTATTTATGCTCAGCTTCTTCACTGTTGCCACAGAGGGACTCATGTTTCTTTCCCAAAACCCACTTCTCCCATTCAAATAGGTTTTTGTTCCTTTTCTTTGTCCTCCATGGATCACTGAGGCATAACCTACACATGAGGAATTTTCTTTAAGGCCTACATAATCTTAAGGTGCCAAAACTAGGGTACTGTGTTGACATATTTATTAGTACATGCAGTAAAACACTTATCAACTATGCATTGAGGTTTGCATGCCCAATAGTTGTAAATCTGGAACTTACTTCTGCAGAAGAAGGTCCTTCCAGGTATCCTGAACCTCCTCAGTTGTTAATTGACGTGCTACCAGGCGGCACTCTTGTAAGTGGTTTGGGTCCAGCTGTACTCTGGCCCTTTCCTCATTCTCTTCATTCTCTCTGCTAGGGCGAAAAAGACTTTTAGCTCGCTTCACTGTGACTTTCCTGCCCTCAGGAGTCTCTGTCCCATTTTTATCTCGAGTCTTAGTATTTTCTTTTGCCACTAAAGGAGGGCGACCAGGAGTTCGTAGAACCTTCAGGGGAGTCTTTGAAGTCATCCTGAAAATAGTGGGAGAAATGATATACTTTTAGCATCTTGTCAAGGAAGAAAATTGGAAGAAGAAATCAAGTAATAAAAAAAAAAACTGGACTTCCGTCAGACCTGAAGAGTTCACTATTGTTTTTCAAGCTATCTGGATGTATCTGCTTCCCTCGAAGTTGTTCAAAGACACCTGCTTTGTAGAATTTTCGGAGTAAATGCAGAGCTTGCTCTTTGGAGATATTTGATGAAAATTCAGAGTGGTCCTTCAAATAAATCCGAAGCCATTTCACAGCTTCATTCGCAGTGAATGAGCTCTCATAATGTCGCATGTGCTTCCAGTGATTACCAGTGGGCATTTTTTCCCGAAAGTCATTGATGACACCAAACCACTGCAAAAGAAAATAACAGATGAAAAAATTCTGCCATGATAGAACATTAACACTGTGAACCCTGCAGCCGTCATATGACGTTCTACGCCCATAATGCATTCAAATTGCCAGGGCTCAAAGTGTCAATCACAGGGCTGCTCAGAGCTTTCCAGAGGCCTGGGGCAAAACTAAACAGGAGGCCCCTTGAGGCTCGGGGCAGATAGTCCCCGATGCCCCCCCCCCTCTGGGCGGCCTTGGTTAATCGAACCCAATCGTTTTCGATCCAGAGTCTAATCATATTCTTAATATGCTGGCAATATGGCATGTAGGCTAAATACTCACTAGTTGGGTGGCTTTGTAGGGACCTGAGGTCCCTGAATCCAGCAGACGATCTGAAGATTGGGAGGACTCAGCACAAGTCCTATTTTCCTCTTGAGCTGCCATCTTTTATACATCTGACACGCTCCTAGTGAAAATATTCTAAAAATATTCTACTTTCCCAGTCCACAAAACTTGCCAATAGGCCAAGGATGAGTCGCTCTAAACGTAAGAAAGACGGCGTTGGACCAAACAGCGCGCGGTCATGCCATACAGCTGTCCTCTGCCGTTTGGCTGAGGAATTCAAACATGAGAGGGCGCTCGAGAACAAACCGATATAGAGACCAATCCGGGAAGACCATGGGCAAATATAAAGTCGGAACAGCTTCGCGGTTCCATGGAGCTATCAGCTCCGCCTCTGGTTCCAGTGCCCTTACCCTCAATCGTTATGTCTCCCTCCTTGCTCCTCACGTGTTCATGTCGAACAACACATCATCATTATGCCTGTTGATCTTTATACCTCTTTAAACTTACGCTCTGGTTAGAAGCTCCATAAAATTAGTGACGTATTACTTAAAATGGATGTTCAAAGATATACCGCTAATTTCATTAGCAGTATTAGCAGACAGGCTCACAACCCAGTTGTGGGCTATGCTTTTATTGTCTTTTCTCCTCACCGTTGTTTTTCTTCAATCTCCTCCCAGTTTAAAATCCCAACTGGAATATTCCAGCTGGACCAAATCCGTGAATTCGGACCATTTCCAGCTGGCAAAGAGCTGGAAAATAGTAGGTACCAGTTGTTTCTTGGCTGGAATTTTCCAACTGGAATGCAGCTGGTTTTAATAGCTGTTTCCAGCTGGAAATTTTCCAGTTGAAAATGTATGAAGAGGACCCTACACCAGGAATGTGGCTACATTTAAAGTTGAAAATCAGCTGTTCTTGTTGATGGACCTCTGAAAAAATAGTCAACAAAAAGATTCTCATTTAGCTAGTGATATGGCAGTTAGGAACAAATCTGGAGATTAGTACTTTCCAGCTGTAACCCTGTTGGAATGGGTCCGAATTTACAGCTGGAGTCCAGCTGGAAATTATAGCTATTTCCAGCCGGGATTTTAAACCGGGTTTGTTAGCCCTCGGATTTTTAAATCAAATTGAGCGCTTTGATTTCTCGTACCTTATGTATCTCATAAATTAAAGTAATAAAGTTGGATGCCATCATTTTACAACTTAAATGTGGATGTTTATTTTTTCCCTCAGGGGAAAGGGGATTTGTCTCAAAACATCCTGTAGAGCCAAATCAAAAGACACAAAGAAGATGTTGACAGTTGCAAGATCCATGGTGTCATGCCATTATAATGCACTACTCCTCATGACAAAGAACTTGCAGTGCTGCAAATTGCCTTGTAGAAGTGCCCATAAAACATGTTTGTATAACTTCCATGTGTCACATGGAGGGAAGATGGTCAGTTTTGCTGGATACCTAATGCCCGTACAATATGGAGATGTTAGTATCTCTGCATCCCACAAGCACACTCGGGACCATTGCTCTCTGTTTGATGTTTCTCACATGCTTCAGACTCGGATCCATGGACAGCAACGAAAGGAATTTTTAGAAAGCCTCACTGTGTGTGATGTACAGGGACTCAGAGAGAACCATGGCTCCCTGTCTCTTTTCACGAACTCCAATGGAGGCATAATTGATGATCTCATTTGCAGCTCAACATCCCAGGGTTATCTGTATGTTGTCTCAAATGCAGGGTGTAGAGACAAAGTCATTCCTTTGTTCAAAGGGCATGAAAAGGAATTCCAGCATCTTGGTAAGGACTCTTCAATTGAATTCCTGGACAACTTTGGTCTGATTGCTCTACAGGGACCTGAAGCCCATTCCATCTTGCAGAAAGTAGTAGATTTTCCAGTGAACAAAGTCAGATTCATGACCACTACAACTGGAAATGTCTGTGGTATCGAAGGCTGCCGTGTGACTCGCTGTGGCTACACAGGAGAAGATGGATTTGAGATCTCTGTCCCAGTTGAAAAGGCTCAAAAGCTAGCAGAGGAATTTCTGAAATTTCAGGTCCAGCCTGCTGGTTTGGGAGCAAGGGACTCTCTGAGACTTGAAGCTGGATTATGTCTCTATGGGAATGATATTGATGAGTCCACCACACCAGTGGAAGCTGGATTGACCTGGACAATTGGGAAGTCCAGGCGTGAACATCGAGGTTTCCCTGGTGCAGATTTCATTTTGAAGCAGTTGAAAGTGAAGCCTGATAAGAGGCGGATTGGGTTGACAAGTGAAGGTCCGCCTCCAAGATCTGGGATGAAGATTCTGGATGAAAATGGGATGGAAGTTGGGATCATTACCAGTGGTTGCCCTTCTCCGACACTGGGATACAATGTGGCTATGGGATACGTCCAGTCTCCCTTGGCTAAGCAGGGTTCTGTTCTTCATGTCAAAGTGCGAAATAAGTTTGTTCGGGCAACAGTCACTAAGATGCCTTTTGTGCCTACCAAATACTTCACGGGTTAGATTCATGTGATGACCTGTAGTACCTGTACCTGTTGGTTGTGCACACCTCAATGTGGAATGCTACCTATAGAAATTCCGTCCAATTTTGGCCTTATATTTTGGTGATATTTTGTGAAGTGATGTTGGGAAGTGTTCTTGAAGAGTGCTCATGTTGTGAACAGTTGAATAATCGTTTGAAGAATGATCAAAGTTTATTGAATCTTACCAGGCTTTATTCTGAACTCAGAGTGTAGTACAAGCAACATATGATATGAAGACTCAGAAGAAATCAGAAAGTACAATTGATTGACTTCCATAATTGGATATTTAACATCCAAAGCATTCTTTCATTACTTGCTAATTTCTGAACCAAGAAGTCTCACAATAACCAACCCAAGAGGAATGTGTACTTCCCTGGTTCATTCAGACACCCATGCATGACTAGATTTCCTCACACACCAGGAATAGGATGCTTCAAGACTGAAGTCAAAATGGACTATTATACAAATTATACAGGGAAGGAAACTGGACAACTGAAGAATCATGGCAGTTGGAAGATGATACAATATGTAGGATGACATACAACAACGATCATGGCACTTGGCCGTAGAGCTTGAGCCGCTGATATTCTATCTGTCGTCTCAGTGATCCTCCACCAGCATCATTGGGATTGGTTGTTGCCTCTTCTGCAGCAATTCTTTTAAGTGGATTGTATGTAGGCCTTGGAATCCCTCCATTCTGCACCTGACTCTCTGGAGGCATCTCAGGTGCATCAGTCTCAATTTCATCTATCATTGATAAAGCCAGACCAATCATTTATTTGACCAGTACATCATCAAAGACATCTCTAGATTTCCTTTTTTGAGATATCATGTGATCTCGTTTTGATCATATGGAACTGAGGTATTCCAGATTTACACTTATATTAATACTATTGGGACTGCTGACCCTAACTTATCATGACTAAAGCTTCAACATATTTTCACATTTGCAAAACACCTTAGGAAGGGAAGCATACAAAAACTACCTTGTAGCATATCCTGGAAATCAAGCACTTCAGGTGGGATTCCTTCATTGCCCTTCTCCGCCCTCCTTCGCCGCTCTTTCAATATCTTCATCAGCTCTGATGTGCTGGCTGTGTTGAACTAATACATGGAGAGTCAAACGAGGAAAGAACATTCCAAGTAAATGAATAAAATCAACAAAATAGAGGCATTGTGCACTAGGTGGGAGCATGCAAACAAACTTTGGTCTCATTCTTGGAAAGTGTGATGTAGGAGTACAGACGACTTCCTTCATCTCTCCCAAAGTGCTTTTCACATACCTCCTTGGTGAGGCGGAAGAGCTTTTTCCCATCCATCCCCTTCAACTTCTCACAGATTCTGATGGACAGTAAAACAGGAATAAGATATTTATCTCACAATTGAAAGTTAAAAAAAAAAAAATTGCATGACTCACTGAGGAGGAAGCAATTTTTGTTTGAGCCAATCCTGAACCTCATTTGCACTAGAATTCTCTGTGATGAAGACAGGAGGAGTCTGCACAACATCCAGCTTCTTTTGGCGGATACGCAAGGTCTTGAATGCTTCCTTCAATTCATCAATTGGGGCCTCAGGAGCATTTCGGCCTGCATATCCACAGCCACAGATTCAACCTTTTCATGCTAGTTCCATGTCCAGAAAACAAACAGTATTCAAAGATTACTCACTGTATCCATTCCTCTGAGACCAGTCATTGGGTCGAGGATTCTGTTGGATAGGTGGCTGCCTGGCCTTGGGTGGCTCCTTGGCTGGTGGTGGCTGTGGTGGAGCTGGGGGTGGTGGAGGTGGTGGTGGGGGTTGGACTGGAGGAGTCACTGTATGTGTCTCATGACTACGATATAGCTGTGGAGGACCATGAGGGAACACATCTGATACCCTCCTCCAGCGGGCTTGATTCCAATCTTCATACCCATCTGTCCATCCCACATTCATGTCAGTCATGTAAGAATTTGGTACCTATTTCTTTTTTATGTAATTATTTTTCAAGCTGCCTTTTTTAAAAATTAATGTGGAGGATGTTTCACAAAGATGTAGCCCCTTAAGTAAGGGCTATTATCTGAGACAAGTTTATTTTCAGGATTTCAATAGTGTATGCAATTTAACCAATTCTTTTTTTCTTTCCAAATTAATAGGACAGTGAGAGAGCTTTTCTTTTGCAAATAGATTAGCAATTACGTAATGCAAAGCTTGGGATGCTGAGGCAAGTCTTATTTCTTGATCATGGATCACTAAGTAATTTCCCCTTTCACCTGGGAAATTCTCAGGCTTCTCGTAGCATGTCAGAAAACCTGCCAGTGAAGGGGTTAAATAAAAAGAGGAACTTATGGAAAAGAATGGAACATGGAAGGAGTTTCTGTTCTCAACTTTTCTCTGAATTCTTCTGATCTTATTTTTTTGGTGATCCATGATTAGGAGATACAAGGTACATTCAAAGACTAGAGATCATTACAGCACAGCTCCTGCATCTTTCCAGGAGCAGCAATGTAATGAAGTGCTGAAATGGCCATACTTCTTCAACAATTATGTGACATTGCAGCTTTGTATCTAATGTCATTCATTTTTTTAAAACAAACTTTAAAAAAAAAATGGCTGGCTGAATCAATAGATTGAATATGAAAGGCAGCAATGCTGTTAACATTCATAAGGAATTTATATGGGTCTGAGGAGAGTCTGCCTTTCCAGCAAGCATAGTTCTTAAGTGAGTGTCAAAATTTTGAGAGGGACAACTCCTTGTTCCCCTATTGGAAATTTAACTAAATTTTTATCAGTTGATTCACTCTAACATACAAAAACAAAATGTAAAAATTATTGATGTAAACAAAGCTGAAACTTCACAATAAATGTAAAAGAAACTGAAGCAATTGTCTACTCTACCACAACTCCTCTGCTACTTCTGGAGAGATGAAAAAGCTGAGCTGCAACAATTACTACTTCTCTTGCAATCTTGAATGCGCCTTGTAAAACTTCACTTGAAAAGTTCCCTAAACTGTGTTACACAAAGATGTAAGTCAGACTCATTCCATGACCCATTTCTGGCTCTCTGAAGTCTGGTTTCTTTAGTAGTTTCTCAACCAGACTCATGCTTTTTGATTACATGGTTGGGTAGCACTTTAAGAAAGTTTATAGAAAGGCCAGCTTCAAAACCATTTCAGTGAGTCAGGATTCAGTGAGTAAATATTTTCCTATAGAGGGAAGAGAAATCCTATCTCCAAAAGGCTTTTTTGTACAGGTCTGCAGTATCTTCTTACTAAATATTGGCAAGAACATGTTCTCTTTTTTCTTTGGCCCATGTTGCATTACCCCACCCTTCATCATAGGTATGGTCCTACTATCCCACTTGCCTTCCCCTCCCTTCTTGCCATGAGTTGCTGCAGCCAAAAATTTTCCCATGGGTCATTAGCTATGGCCCATTCTGTAGTCTGTGAAACCTTGATTCATGTGAAACACCCTGTATATCTGCAGCAGATCCTCATTTTTCTCAATTGACAGAAAGCTGCCATTAGAACAAGGATATGCTGTTACCCCCTTAAGTAAATAAATTTGCTGCAATTCCACATTTCTTTTCTTTGCACAGTGGCTACATCATATGGATGAATTAAACCAACGTTAGCTTTGCTGTGTCTTCAAGTCTCCCATGATCTGGTAGTTCAGGAGAGATACTTCATTTTAATAGAGAGCATCAGTCCATTACTCAAATATCATTTCCTATGAACCTTCCTCTAAATGAGTGAATAAACTTTTAACCTGCAGTTTGCCTATCCTCACTAGTAATTGCTTTTATAGCACCATGTTCACCAGCTGTCAATTATTAAGGCAAAAAAATTTCATTTATTCAACTGGACTATGGATGCTCTTTCTCCCAAAAGAGCTCAAGGCTGTCTGATTTTGAGGCTCTACAAGGGGTGATCCAAAAGTTTATGCCCTGAGGTAGTAGGAATGATCAGAGAAGGCTGAAATTTGATTCCCATATTCTTTCATCCTTTTAGGCAATTTCAAGGGTCAGCAATCGGTTTTAGGTACATTTATATTTTTATTAATAATTTGTACATAGGAAATATTCCAACCAAAAGTTATTCCATTTCAAAATGGAAAATTTTGCATATGGAGCAGTTATGAAAATGTTATTAGTAATTAAAGTATTAATTTGATCTAAATTAATTCATGTCAACAGAACAGCTCATTCAATAATATAAATTTTACCAGGGCTGTCAATTCTATTAAAGTATTAATTGCAATTTTTAAAATTTAGTAGAATTTTAATCAACCTTCTAACCTTCCCCTGAATGCTTCTTTTCCCCTCATAACTTTACTGTGTAGTTCAAAGTTTTGCAAAACAACTGAGAGTGAATGCTTCATCAAGGGAATGAAATGTAATGATGGCTTGTAGCAGGTAGTTGTTTTTGCACTGCTCATTCTTCCTCAAAAACAACATACTATTTCTGGAAAGATACACACAAAAATAAAGCCATCGCTTTCAGACTCTTCCAAAAAAGCTTCCTGACCCCTTCACATCCGCAAGTGTACTGGTGTGCATCCTGTGTGCTTCTGCCTAGGCTTGTATGCTTCACACATCCGACTAAGGTAACAGCTGCCTAGGGCAGAGCGACTGAGAAGTCACTGGATGCAAATGAGGAAAAGAAAGTCATAATGAAGAAGCTGCAAGGGAACACACAGAGGGAAGAGGGGAGTTGGGCAAGGGCATGGGACAGGAAATGCAGGAAAGAGGATAATGTAAAGACTGGGGAGTGAGAGATGAACATGTAAGTGCACAGGTGAACGTCTGTGGAAGCCCCCAGAAAGTTGCCAAGAGGGGGAAAGCCAGGGCAGGTGAGAGAAGTGGAAACAAAAGTGTGAAACCCTCTCCTATTCCTTTTTTGCTCCTATTTTTGCTTTTCCATCCTGTATTGCTGTAAATCATTACTGACTCTTAAACTCTCCACGTAATGAAGTGTCACTGTATACGTCAAATCATTTTGGTTGCATTTTTGCATCCGTTATGGGTTGGCTAAATGGCAAAGGGCCTCAGTGTGCTTCTTGGCTGACATTTAATTATCTTGTCAAGTAGTTACTATTTTCTTTCTGACTGGAATGTGTAGGATGAACTAGTGCATGTATGGATAGTAACTGCTATGTTAGTGACTGCATCGCCTTGAATCACTTCCTGAGGCTCGCCTAGGCATGACACAAGCTGAATCATTCCCAATGCCTTGAATATGATTCAGGGAGGAACTAAGGGATCGATTAAAATTAGATTTAATTGACTGATAAATTATTGAATGGCTCATGATTGATCAATGAAAAACTTTAATCAATTGACAGCCCTAAATTTAACGCAAAACTTCCTATAAAGTGGCCACAATAGTGAAACTGACAATTATCAATTCAGTGAAACTGTCCCAGCACTTTTAATTGACTATGGAAAATGAATTTTTCCGTCATAAAATTGAAGCCCTGTTCCATCAATGGGACAAGCATTGATGTCCAAGGAGGTAATGCTGAAAAGTGAAATTTGTTTCATCAGTCTATCACATTCCCTTATATCTCAGGACAGAAACTTTTGGATCACTCCTCGTATGTCCATATCATGAAGACACTCATGCCTGCAACTCTATGAGGGGATTAATATTAGTTAGGCATGGTTCCTCAGAGGTCAAGCTTGTAAGAAACAGACAAGGAAAGACAGAGGAACTTGCATCAAGCTGCTTATATCTACAAGCATTTGGGAGTGAAAGCAGACATGGGAATAGATCCAACTCACCCAATCTTCAATGGATGTCCTGGAAATCCTCCAAACCAAATTATGCACAGCATATCATAAAAATTGTGCACAAAGATCTGGCTACTGCACCATATAATGGAAGCAATGCAAGTTGCCTTTATTTGAAGCATCGTTACTGTTTACTTCAAGAACTGGTATTGCATAACTTTTTTTTTGCAAATGTGGAGGAGTACTAGAGGCAATATGTCTGACAGCAGACATTCAGATCATCTTATTTCTGTCCAGACAGTCTGATTTGTACAAATGTAAATAAAAAGACACAAGAAAAGGTTAGAAACCTATATTGACCAAATAAAATTACACCATCAATTATTCAAAATTTACAGAATAAAAACAAATATTACTTTTAGAAACAATTTCTAATAATAAAAAGTAGTCTCATTTTTTGTTTACTTGATCAGTCCCTGGATACAAACTTCCAACAATTCTTCAAAAAAATATAGATAAAAAAAACAGGAAACACAATCCAAGTGTTTGCTTTGTCAAATGGACGGTTGACATCAAGTGAATGAGTTTCTTATGTTTCTTTTCAGAAAACAAACAGGACGGATTGACCATACAAACGCAGATGCATCCACCCAACATACTTCTCCAGAGTGTCGGCACACAGGTTATCACAGATGGCAACAGGGGAAAGAGGGGTGACAAAAACAGCTGGGACCTGCCATCTCTTGCACTCTTATTCTCACAGTCACTCTTTACAACCTCAATGAGCTGCCTCAAACTCTACAATGTCATCATGAGCAAAAATCGTGGAAAATATTCCCTGACAACAACTACACAACATATTTTTCTCTTTCCCATTCAAGGGATAGAGATTGGTCAGCTGGTATCAGATGAATATCTAAGTCAAGTGTTGAAGACAAGTGCAAGCCCAACCTTGACCAAGTAGCACCACTGACAAACTCCCACAAGCACACAAATTGGACAACACCATGACAAAATGAGACACACATGGCACACCCAACCAGCAACAATGGACGGCTAAAATAAGTTGACCTCGAGGAACAGAAATAAAAATAGGATCATATGAAGATGCACAGATGCACACACAAAAACTGATGGAAATAGGTCAAAGAACAGGGTATGTATACTCAATCTCTTTCTTGTGTTGTCTCTTAAAAGTAACGGAATTCACCTTTCCGCCCAGCCATCTCTTTTTGGATGCGCTCTGGTGGGGCAGGTTGTATTGGTGGGCGACGCATCCCACCCTCCCTTGGGGAATCCTGCAAGCAAATCCCAGTCAGATGGATTATTACTTGAGGCAGACTTTCCCAGCAGAGCAGACATACTAAGACAAAATGTGGACTTACTGGATGGTAATCAGGGGAGTAAACAGGGTTGCCAAAGACATCTTCTTGCTCAGATGATCCCTGCTGGGGGTCATTGGGGACATAGTGGGTGACAATTGTGTTTGGAACATGTCCTACTTTCCCACTCATGTTCTGTACCTTCCACCACTTCCGGCTGTCATCCAGCACCTGTAAAATAAAATTTAAAAAATAAGTCCCCACTGTGAATGACAGTACTGGCCAACAGAGAATAAAAATAACTTTTACTCACCTCAAGGTACTCTCCACGTTCAACAGTCAGTTCCTTGGAATTGTTCCCAGTGCGAGGGTAAGTGACTTGAACAATTGTAGCTACACGAGCCTTCAGCTGTTCCAACCAGGCCCTTTCAGGATCCCTCTCAATAGAATCAGCCGAGATGTCACTGCGAGCAGTTGAGAAATCTCCACCCACAAGTCCATCCCTCATGTCTGATTGTGGTGTTGGTGATCTTTCCCTAAAGTGGTAGAAGGGAAAATTTTTCATTCGTCTTTGAAACAAATAAATATGAATGAGAAATGAGACTGCTTATGAGACTGCTCACCTGAATCGACTCTGTTGCATCTCTTCATGAGATAGGTATCCCATGTTGTCATAAGCTGTACGTTGAGGTCCAGTCCGAGAGTACCTCTTGTTCCTGAGGTGAGCCTGAGCCTCCTCTTCAGCTTTCATGGCAGCCAGCTGCCGTTTCTTTGCCTCTTGTGCAGCTTGGGCTCCAATTTCTTCTTCCCTATCTCGACCCACAGGGAAACCTGGAGACCAGCCATCATCAAATCTTGGCTGGTAGTTCTCCACTGCTCCCTTCCATTGACTCCTGAACAAAAAAAAATAATAATATTTCACTCCTCACTTCCTTTCTCATTCACCAATTGCTAGGAGAGGTCAAAATCAAACCATGTCGCTTAAATTTTTAAACCCACTCCTGAAATTTGATCTGTTGCTAAATCAAAGCAGCCAAAGATTTCATGTGAAAGCACAATATATTATAAACATGTATAACCCAAGACATTCACTATATGTGCAAAAGATGTAGCATGAGTGCTCTGCCATGCTGATACAGATATAACACCTCACAATGATTCAAATTTAGCATTAAAAAAAAGTGCTCCTGGAGCTTCTTGATATCCACAATCTATATCCACTAGAAGAAGCTCTAGGAGCTGCTTCTTTTGGTGGATATGGGTCTTTCTTTTCCCTTTTACTACTCGAAATTTCGTGACGCCACCACTGAAAAACTCCATATGGTTGGAAAGCTCTCTTTGTCATCATTCAGTAAACAATAAATCGAGATTCTTGCTCTCAACAAAGCAATCAAGGAAAGACAAATGGGTCGGTCCCACCTGCTGCTTCTCAACCTCTCGTTTTTTTTCGGAGGGATGTGTTTCGTATTGCCCCCCCCCCCCCCCTTCAGCAATTTCAGGAAGTACACATGATCACAGCTTCATAAATTAATCGTATGAGGGTTTTTAAATATTTCGAATAAGGTAGTCGTTATTTTAATAAGCGATTTGCACACCTCTGCCTGCTACTGCAAAATGCAGGAAGGATAGACAGACCTTGGGATGAGCCATGCGTCACCGAGAGACTGCCACAACTCGTTCTCCTTGGACGTGAGGCAGTTATGAAGGAGCTCAATGGCATCGCGTGTGAGGAGCGGAGCGACCACAGAAGCAGCCAGGTCCATCGGGTAGAAGTAGGTCCTTGAGGCATTTACAATCAAAGCCAGGGGAGTGAAGACAAAATGTACCAATTCTGGGGCATTCGGGTCATGGATGTGGTCTCGCAATTTCGCCTGAGAAGTCAACATGTCAAGCATTACCATCGTCACTTAGGACATCTTACCATTCTTCCAAATGCTTCTTGGCATTTGAAACTCACTAGTCAACTCACCAGAAGGTTGAAGCAGAGTTTGAACTTCTGGAAGAGGTCGACGAAGTCACGATCAGGAGGGGGTTTGGCTCGCATAGACAGCATCCCGTCTCCCAGGTCCTTCTTCTTTGACTTTCTGTTGCTGGATGGTGCAGAGGGAAAAAAGTAGAGACCTCTTGTCTGCACTGAGCACCGACAGAACGACACGAGAAGCGGACAGAAACTCACTTGCGTCTTCTTTCCAGCTCCTTGCGGGCAGCAGCCGTGTATTGAAGTCGGGCGACGAACCGCTCAATGTCATCAAAGCAACGGTTGAGGACGATGACGTCCCTCTCGCACTTCTCACTGGACGAGGAACTTGTCTCATCTGCTGAGCCCAGGTCCCTGTAATTGGCACGCATGTCCGCCCCACCTGCCCCACCAGTCCCCATGTCTCTCACGTAACCTGGACCGGGCCTCACGTCACCTGGTCCCTCTGGACGAAGCTGGCTCTCGGAATCTGCACGAACCACATCATACAGATGATTCACCATCACGAAAAAATGGCCACCCTAGCCCTTCCACAGAGAATCGACTATCGTGGTGAGAGCATACACTTATTCCTCATGCTGGACGACGGTGCACGCCGGAAGGTAAGGAAGAGAATGCGAAGAGACGCGAGATGAGAAGAGAAGGGGGGAGGGGGGGAAAGGAAGGTCAGCGAAGCGTATCGCCACCCGAGGCGAGAGAAGACACTCCTCTCTTTTCTTTTCACTAGTCCAGGGAGGACCAGGACAAAAAATTTTCCGCAACTTTTTTTTTTCCCTGACACCCTCTCTAATCGTGAGGATATGGACACAAAAACACGAGCACGACCTCCGTGCGTGAATGCGTTGGAACCGTGACGGGGCTAATGCAAAGTGCATACGGAGCACATCAAGACCTAGTCCTACCTTCAGTAGTGGGTTCATAGGGGCGTGACGTGTTTCATTTCGTGGAAGACTCTAACCCTCGACCCAGAAAGGGGGGGTCGGGTGGTCGGTGGTAGTTCATGAATGATCGCCCAAATGACGGGGTAATCACCTGGGGCTCCTGCATCATTAATATTAATATCTCCTCGACCCGTCCTCGTTATCCAGAACCCGTGGAAACAGCGACCAGAAACTGAGACTGATTTCAAAACGGCAGTTCGGTTCCAGTTCAGTTCCAGTGACAGTAGGGATTTTGTCTGACTTAACTCCCATTGTGCACATATCGACAACTCTCACAACGAAATCCCACATGTAACTGCAACTGAACTGGAACCGAACTGCAATTGATATCTTGTTCAGTCGGAGGCAAGGAGGGAGGCGAAAAAAAAAAGTGCCCATGGACCGTTCATCGAGAAGAAACGATGACGACTCTGAGAATTGAAGCGGCATCCGAGTGTGAAAACGGAGTTCCTCTCTCTCTAGCTCTCCATCCAACCCATGGAAAATAGCGGGGACATGGTCAATGGTGAATGGGGAATTCATGTGTAAACGGCAATAAACCACATGACACACGAACCCAAGGTGGCCTTCGCGCTTCGTCGACTATAGAGGTCTTCGAAGGCAAAAAAAAAATTATAATAATAAATATAAGTGGAGGAAGCTTCATTAGAGCATTTCCAGTCGGTGAATTCCATCGCCATATTTGCAAGGCTTTTTGCCTTGGAGCAACGGACTCATCCTCAGCGAGACAGGAAGAGGAATTCACGGTGAGATCCTCGGCGCATATTTTCAGCCACTCTCGACTCGAGTGTAATAGCATAAGTGTGGAATGTCTTGTCGAGGTTAATGGGATCCTTAACCATCGCGGGACATTCTTGGCAAGTGACATCATCCAAGACAGAAATCCCTTTACTCGTTCCCGTACAAGTAAATATTCGTTCGCACATAGATGATTTCCAGACAGACCCACGAACGATTTCATATAAACCTGGTGTCCCCATTTTGAGGAGCGCGGGAAGACTCGAAAAGCGAGTTTTCCCGTCTCTTTATCGAGGGTGTCAGACGATGGATTCGAAAGGAGATCAAGACGTTGCATAATCTAGAAAATGTTATCGGAGTGAACTACCAGGGCCACCTAAAGGCTGTGACTCATGAAATGCGTATGAACACTCTGGAATGCCAATGACGCAGAACCCTCTGGAACAAACCACTTTCCCGAAAGAGGCTGAAAGAAAAACTCCTTTTTTCCTTTTCCGACTGCATTCCCACGGTTTTATTTATCACGAAGGGGTATTTTTGGGCTGGAAGGGAAATGAGATTTCACAAGCGAGGAAATTGGTTTTCTCACTCCTCTCTCTCTCTCTCAATTTTTTTCCCTTTCCATGGAATGGTTGGAGGCTGGGTTCGTTATCGCGTTGCACAAGACCTGCGCTGGGGGGATAATCAGGACCGATTATTTTCTACCTCGTTACCGCGTGTTCCCGCATATCAGGAACTCCGAATTCGAATTCCATTCTCCCATATTATACAGCGCATTTCCAGATCATTCCACGTACCCAGCTGCAGGACAAGCCTAATGCCTTATATTTCCGAGAACCAGCATTAACTTTTTTTTACTCACTAATGAAAGGCAGGAATTCCAACGATCAGCCCTTGTACTAATCAATCCCTTTGGATAGTATACTGAATCTGATAAATGGCACAAGACATAACGGAATGTCGTACTTTGCTTGAATGCATCACACGCTTCAGTGGAGTGCATCAACGGATGAAGAGTCGAGTTAATGTTCATGTTCGTATATTTTGTCACTAAAAGGCCTGGTGACGCAGTAGCTGCCGATATCCTCACCTTTACAACGAGACATCTCTACTTGACCGTACAAGCTCTTGTTTACCACTTCTTGGTATCGAATCTATTATATGTTATTGCCATCGTGTCTGATGGCGCCACTCTCTGTTGATCTGCCACAAAGCCGTGGATAGCGTCATCTAGCCACTGGTGTCCAATAGGATTTCGATGCTCGCCAAACTTGTGGTGATCAAGTCACCATACTCGCCACATGATACAAAATATATGAAATATTAATAAAAAAGAATGCGCCTGAAGAAAAAAATATAACTGATGAAGAGCATCAATTCGCCACATGTGGCGAGTGGCGAACGTATTGGACACCATGGATCAAGACCTACCTGATACCAGCGAGAATAACACGAAAAGGTGGTAACGTGGAATCCATTCAACACCGATGAAATCAGAAGCAAACATCAAAGTTTACAAGTCAACCTTGAAGCGTAAATTCGGGCCAGCTTTTATGCGTTGCCCTACCACAGTGTTTCGTTTGGCAGGCACAAATATTTAAAAATATATATAACCTTATCTTTCAAGAACATGGTACACGAGGAAACGGACCAGTTCCACTGGAGGTGGGATGAGAGGAGGCAGACGAATAGATTTGGCGACGATATTGGCTCTGAGGCTGCTGACTTGTCGGCTGACGATAGTGAAAATAATCCACGCGATCGTTGAGATGGTATTTCCTGCCTCCGATCCCAATCTCGGTCGCAGTAACAAGATCTTTCACGGACGTTTTCCGCTTTTTTTCCTTTTTCCACAGCTGATGACTGTGTGAATGTCCATTCTGATGGACGGGATGAACGACGACGATGGCCGGGGAGGGCCGAATGAGCCCAGACGCGGTAGCGGAGGAACGACGACCACCACCACTCATGGCGCAACGATCACCGCTGGCACTCGACTGAGTCCCTCTTTCGACTCCGCGCTACCCTTCACTTCCCTCCCCCCCCCCCCACCCCCTCCCCCAGTGCTGCCATGAACTTCGCCTTTCAAATGAATTCCCTACGAAATGCTCGTATCAAAACAACGAATTCTTTGACCAGGAGAAACACTGACTGAAAATCATGGATGAGTCATCGTATGGTTATTCATTGTTCGAATATGAACACCTGCTCTAGGGTTCCATGACGAATAGGAATGCCTATCGATAACAACAGTCAAATAATTCAACACAGATTTTCGACTTTCATCAAAATTAACGCGAATTCATCCCTTAAAATTCGTACGGGCTTCAAATAGAAAGGAATTCCAAGAATTAAAAGGCATATGGACCACTTTCAATAAGTAATGGGTTGAAGTAACGAAGCTAGACCTTCTCTAGAGAAAAAAAAAACAAAAAAAAACAAAAGGCAGCTATCATGATTCCCAAATATATAAATAATGATTGATTTAGTTGAATATTGAATGCAAATTGCACGAAATCCTATTCGCATACGAATAGTTGCCAAGCGTCAAATATCTTCTGACGACTGAAACAGCTTGCTTGAACAACCATGTAAGTTGACAAGACCTTGAGATGTTCAAATGTCAACAAGGAAACGTCCTGACGACTAGAAGGCAAAACAATAAATCATTCATGAGGCAAACTTCAGAAAACAAGTGAAACTAAATTACTTTGAAAGCAACAAACCCCAGCATTCTAAAAAATGTGCACGGATACGAAGTGAAAACAGTTGGATGGTTTCCCCATTTTCCCTTCTGTCTGAACAGCTTCGGCAACCGTGTTGCCAGCAGACCAAAGCAGAGGAGAGAGCAGCCGAACCCGTGATTACACGTCGTATGGGAAAGAGAACTTTCGTTCCGTTATCGAACTGGTTGATCGGGTATCAGTGAAAGACTTTTTCCAGATGTCAGACTCAGACCCGGAAGGATGACCGTTTGAAATCTGATCTTCCCTTTCGCAACCCGACGGTGATCCGTCATCCCATCATCATCATCATCGTCGAAGCGGCAGATGAAAGCAGAAGAGAGAGAAAATCGACAGGTCTGTTCGTCCCTTTTCGGAAGCTAAAAATCATGGAACGGTGGGTCGATATGGGAAAGGCCTGCAATAACGACCTATCATAGGCAATTTCGAAGAAACGCGAAAGTCTCGTCGATTCCGTGACTGACGAAAGAGAGAAGACGGCATATAAATCCAAAGTCATTATTTGCCAGGAAAGCTCCCATCAGGAGAGAGAAAAAAGTCAGGGGCCGCCTCGCCCCAAGCCTGAGAAACTTCCTTCCACGACCAAACATAGACACGGAGGAAACAAAATAAAAAAGCTGCGTCGTGCGATAATGTCCCCCCTCTCCCAAGTCAATCTAAATGAGAGTGGATTATGACGCAATATAACTGCCCGCCACGTATACCCTGACGACATTGCCCTGCCTCGCACGGCTTGTTTTCCTTTTTCCATAGATACGAGCATTCTTTTTTAAACGGTCATAGGCATGAACGAGACGGCGACGGGTCAAGATTACGTTATGAGAGAGACCGTTAGGAAGGGTCTTCCACGACAGAATCTATTGTCCACTAACTCCAACTCCGGTGACATAGATATGAACCCCGTTGAGGGAACAAACCCGTTCTTCTTGCCATCATGAACTCCACGATTCTGGATTGTGGCCGGTCTCCCCTCCCGTCCTTCACAGAGACATTTTCTTGAATGCGATGGGCCGGGCATACCAAGGGGTTCTTTGTCTCGAAAAAGG